CACCTACTATAATTCTTTTTCTTTTTCTTGCCACTACAGGTCGGTCGCGAGCTCGACAAATATCTACTCACACAACCCATTGTATGTGCCGAAACGAAATCCTTCACACTAGAAATGAAAGAACTTTGCGCTCTTTACACTACAGATGTCATAGCCACTGTCGCCTATGGCGTCCAAGCGAACTGTTTCAAAAATCCCAATGGCGAATTCCGGCGCCATGGTCGCGCAGTTTTCAAGTTTAGCTTACGTCGTTCATTAGAATTCATGGTAGTCTTCTTCATGCCGCACTTGGTGCCCTATCTACGATTCAAAGTCGTACCCCCAACATCCACCGAGTTTCTGCGTTCTGCAATCAACTATGTAATGCAACAACGCGAGTTATCGGGTCAAAAGCGTAATGATCTAATCGATATACTCATCGAGTTCAAGAACTCTACAAAAGAAACCCCTTCCACAAATGGACTCGTGTTTGAGGGTGACCTGTTGGTTGCACAGGCGGCACTTTTTTTCACAGCTGGTTTTGAGACCTCCTCGGCGACCATGTCTTTTGCACTGTATGAGTTAGCTAAACGGCCTGATTTGCAGCAGCGTGTGCGCGTTGAAATCGCTGATGGATTGCGTCGTACGGCGGGCAAAGTGACGCAAGAATTTATAGATTCGCTGACGTATATGCAAATGATAATCGATGAGGTGTTGCGTCTGTATCCGCCTTTACCTTTTCTCGACCGCCAATGCACTGCGGAGGAGGGCTACTCGCTGGAGCCGTTTCACAAGTTTCGTATGCCACAAGGCATGCCCGTTTATATACCGGTGTATGGGCTGCATATGGACCCAGAGGTATTTATTGCAGTTAATACATTTAGTAGATACTTTTTTAACGAACATTCTATCTACATACATCCTCTTACTTTATTTACTATTAAAACTCATTTAGATCTATCCCGAACCGAAAAAATTCGATCCTGAACGATTTGCGCCACAAAACAAAAAACAACTGAAGCCTTACACTTACATGCCTTTCGGTTTGGGACCACACGGTTGCATTGGCGAACGCTTCGCTATGATGCAGACAAAAGTTGGACTTACCTATTTTCTACTGAATCACAAAGTGACGACTTGTGCGCGCACAAAGATTCCCATGCAGCTGGATCGCAAGGCGGTTGTGGTGCAGGCTGAGGGTGGTATTTACCTGAACGTTGTGCGTAGTCCGTTGTGTGAAAATAGTTGAGAGTTGGAGGTGTTGTATGCTAGCGAGACCGTGTTGGACGCTTGAGTGAGTGAAAGTTAGCCGGATTCAATAGATTTTAAGCGGTATACACACAGAACACACCAATACAGATGAGATTTTGTAAAATACGAGCACTTATATTATAATTCATAAATCAAAGCATTTTTGGCATTTAACTTAGGTCAATAGCACGCTTGCGTGTTGCGGGTAATTTTATATAATTTATTTTTTTTTTGTGCATTATCCACACTCAGCTCATCTTCAAGTCGCTACTGCTGAATGTAATGAGCAATTGTTTTAAGTAGTTTCTAGTAACAAAATAATTTTGCATTTTATGGGGTGCTATTTGTAATTTGCAATGTCACCCGAAATGATCGCGTGTGTCAAACGGGCGATCACGAGGGCATACGAACCATGCAGCAAATCGAACTGGTGTAAATCTAGCGCAGTGATAGCCAAAACGAGGACGGAACTGGTTCTTGTTTTAAATATTTTTTTACTACCTATTAACTTGTTTAGAAAACAGTTTTTCTCTTAGTGTATCAGATCACTGGACTCTTGCGAAATCTCATCGATAGTCCTTAACAAGTTACCTAATCAGTTCACTATCCGCTTAGTGTGGATGCCAAGTCATAGAGGCATGCAAGGTAATTTCATATCAGACGAACTTGCGAGGAAAGTAGCCTCTCTGTATTACGCCAGCTCCTCTCGTCATGCGGAATTGCCGTTACCTTTCCTTAACTTAATCATGGTTTTATTCGACATGCTAAAAAATATACTTGAAAACCTTGGCTGGGCATAAATCG